AGCGACCAGGAACTCCAGGGCCTGCGGGTTGGGCCGGCCGCCTGGAGACCCTGGCTCCATCTTTGCCTGAAGGCCCTGAGCTGATTTGCAGGAAGGAGGGCGGTCTGCTTGTGTCCGGTCCACTGAGTTAGGGGCCGGTGCTGCGGCACAGTGGGTAAATCCGCCGCCCGGTCACCTGCTTTCCATACAGGCGCTGGTTCAAGTCCCGGCCGCTCCACTTCCAGTCAGCTCCCTGCTATGTGCCTGGCAAGGCAGCGAGGATGGCCCAGGTACTGAGTGCCCGCTGCACACGGCTCCTGGCCCTGGCCTGGCGCAGCCCCAGCTGATGCAGCCATGTGGGGAGTGGACTGGTGGATGGAAGATTCCTCTCTCTCTCTGCCTTTCAAACAAATACAGGAGTCACCCTTTTTTGCGAAGTCTACTGATTTAAATGCTAATCCCATCCAAACCCTCACTGCTCACCCAGGCACGAGCTGAGCCGGGGCCAGGCTCTGCCTGACGCGACGTCCGCTGGGGCCGCAGGGTCCCTGCAGAGTGGACTCCCACCGTGCCCTTCTCAGGACTGGTTCCGGCGTCTCTCACACGAGTTCTCCTGTAGGCACCAGTGGAATTCTGCCGTCGGCGGGAACCTGGTGGCGCTGGAGTGTGTGTGGGGGACAAGGCAGGGCTCCGAGGGCCGGGGCCGGGGGCCGGGGACTGGGACGGGGTGGGCGCTGTCCGGGAGCCCCTGCACAGCGGGGTGTTGTCCACCAACCAGGAGAAACACATCCAGAGATGACACTGAGACAGACGTGTCCCTGACAGCAACAGGCAGGCTGCAGGGAGACACGGAGCAGTGACAGCTCACACACATAGGCACACACACCACTCACCACACACATGCAACACACAACACAGCACACACGGACAACACACACAACACGTCACACACACGTACACACATGTACACACAGAACACATACCACACGGGGACAACACAGCACATACGTACACATCACACACAACACACATACGTACATAACACGCCACACACACCATACACAGAGACAATACACAATACACCACACACACACATGCGTGCATACACACACATACATAACCACACACACCACACACAACCACACACACCATATACACAGCACACGTACACAGTCACACATGCACAGGCACACACACAGACAACACAGAACACACCACACACATGCATATGTACACACACATACACAATCACACACAACCACATCCACAACACACATACATACATAACCACACATACCACACAACCACGTAACCACACAGTCACACGTCACAAGCATGTACATAAATGAACACACACACACACACACACACTGTTCTGTAGCTCGCTGTGACAAAATCGCTAAGTACACGCAGAGATACACCACTCTCCATGTATGTAAGTTGCGTGTCAGTGAGGGGAAGGTCCACACCGCTCCCAGCACGGGCTGGGGTTCGAGTCATCGTCAAGAAGCGATTCGAACCCACAGCTGGTAGAGAACATGGATCTCAAGGACGACCTGACGGCGCGCTCTGAGCGAAAGGACGAAAGCCGGGCGCGCCACGCGCTGGGGGAGGAGCTGGGCTCCAGGCCACGGTCCTGATGGAGCACCGCGGGAATGCGCCTGCGCACCTGGGCTGTGGGTGGCCGGTGACTTCCAGGGCGTGGAGAGAAGCGGAAGAAATCCCAGACCTCGGGCAGGAGGGGGCGTCTGGGGCCATGATGCCCGGTGGGGTGGCCCGGGAGTGGCCCACGGCCGTCCGTGAGAGCGGGGTGCAGACTGGGCTCACTGAGCCGGCGGGGCTGGGCCATCTTCTTTTTAAAGATGCACTGGATTATTGAAAGGCAGAGTTAGAGAGACAGAGAGAGAGAGAGAGAGCAAGCCTCCATCCACTCCCCAGTTGGCCGCAATGGCCGAGGCTGTGCTGATCCGAAGCCAGGAGCCAGGAGATTCCTCCAGGTCTCCCACATGGGTGCAGGGGCCCAAGGACTTGAGCCATCCTCTGCTGCTTTCCCAGGCCATCAACAAGGAGCTGGACGGGAAGTGGAGCAGCTGGGACTCGAACCGGCGCCCATGTGTGGTGGCTTTAGCTGCTGCACCACAGCCCTGGCCCCAGTGACATTTTCTTGGATGCGAACTTTTGTGGGTGTTGTGCAGTGTCTGTGACCAAGGCGGGACCGGGTCCTGTGTCCTGTGTAAGCACCCACGGGGAACACGCTCACCAGAGCACCGGGACAGCCGCAAGGGGAACGGTGAGCTTAGCGGGCGCAGATGAGGGGCCCACGCGTGTGCGGCGCCCCGGGGGACGCGGCCTCCCGCGTTCAGGTGCAGCAGAAGCCTGAGCACCCGGCGCCATGGAGCAGAAGGGCCTGGGTGCCAACAACTCGCAGAGGCCTTAGAGATTCTTCTGGACACAGACTCCACATGCCGGGCGAGGGGACAAGTTAGACCACGGAACCAGAAAAGGGGGCGTGGTGGGAGAACTCAGCAGCCACCAGCGGGCAAAGACCTCACCGTGTGGAAGGGAGAGGCCCCTTCCCCGCCCTGGCAGAGAGCCTGCGAGATGGTTCGATCTGCCGCCTGGTGCCGGGGCTTGGTGCCCGAGGCGGGCAGTCTGTGCGGAGGTGGGCTGGGCTCACGGCGGCGGGGCTGGCAGGACCAGCGGCTCGGGGCCCCCAACTGCATCACCTCCTGGCCGCTGGCGTCGGGAGGGGAGCGGGCACGGGCCTCGTGGCGAGCGGGAGACGGAGGAGCGGGCCTGGCTGTGGACAGCTGCCTGAGCCTCCAGCAGAGCCCTGATGACCGCACTGGTTCCCAGCCTCTGGGGGGTCCTGCGCTTCCCCCGCGGCCACACTGGGGACCAGGGCTCTGCCCGCAGACACATCCCAACTGCCGCAGGGACCTCGTCACCAGGGCTTTTCAGAGCGAATTGCCTGCCTCTCCTGCCGCCGGCCTCCCGGTGCCCGATGACTCCTGACCCCCAGCAAGGGGCTGCTGCTCAGCTTCCGGGCTCGCCGGGTGCCCCTGGGTCCCCCGATGCTCAGCAGATGGGGCCGGCGTGGTGCAGGGGTGAAGCCCCTGCCCGTGACGCATCCCACGGTAGAGCTCCGGTTCCCATCCTGGCTGCTCCGCCTCTCAGCCAGCTCCCTAGTGCTCCCGGAAAAGCAGCAGAGGGTGGCCCGAGCGCTTGGGCCGCTGCACCCCCGTGGGAGACCGGAGGAAGCTCCTGGCTTCGTCCTGGAGCAGCCCTGGCCGATGCGGCCATCTGGGGAGTGACCCAGCAGCTGCAAGGTCTCTGTCTCCCTCTCTGGCACTTTGCCTTTCAAATAAATAAATCGTATAAAATAAAAGTGTCAGGCGCCCTTCGTCTTCCTTTCACACATCCCTAGAGTGGGGTCAGTGCGTACGAAGCTGGGGAGAACCCTGAGGGACGCTGTGTCTTTAAATGGTCAGAAACCACTGGGGGTCCCGACAGGTGGGGAGCAGGGCCTGGCCCGGCACCGGCTTCTCCTAACACGGCTTCGCCTCCGGTTTCTCCTGTCCCGGCCTCTTTCCCTCGGCTTCCACCGCTCCCTGCTGAGGACAGGGGAGCAGAGACACCCTCGGGCACACGGCGATGGCCTCCGGGCTGTGTCCAGGCTCGGCCTCCCCTTGCTGCCCAGGCACGGGGCAGGGCGGGCTGTGTGTGGGGAGAGCCCTCGGGGACTCTCTGGGTTTTCATGTGGAGCCGCATGTCCAAGGGCCCCGAGCGGGCTGGGGCTTTGAGCCACGGGATACCCACGGGATACCCTGCTTGGTCTGGTTCCTGGGGGGCGGAGTTTGGACAAAGTGACTTCCCTGCTCCCAGGCAGCCGCCAGCGCGGTCTGGGGAGAGCACCCACATCAGGTGCCTTCCCGCCGACGCCCCGGCCTCCTGGGGTTCCGGCCCCAAGCCCGGCTACACCTGGGTCCCTGAAGGTGGCTTCTCCTCGGTTGATGGGGGCGGGGACTTGAACTCGAGACCCTCAGGGACTTCTGGTCACAGAGGTCGCAGTAGGTAGGCAGGGACTGGGGCGCTCAGGTGCACCCCTTTGAGCTGGGTGTCCCTGAGCGTCCTCACTCTGCTTCTGCAAGTCGGCCTGGGGGAATGCGACACCGTGTCCCTGGCACAGGCAGGTGAAATCGCGGAGAAGCTGGGCAGCGGGGAGCCAGCAGGGGTGTGGGGCGTGGCCTTGCACTGCAGCCCTCTGTGTCCTGTCCCCCCCATTCCACCCGGGGCCTGGGCCCTGAGGCCCCCATGGCTGGCCTGGAGTGGGGAGGAAAGGTGAGGGAGGCCACCCCGGGGCACCAGGCTCAGGTGTGCGGGAACCACGTGCGGGGAGTTGAAGCCTCCGCAAGTTCGTCTCCATTTCATCCCAGCTGGGGAACCCCTGCGGTCGGGACAGCACCTTACGGTCACCGGCTGGGGCTGAGGGAAGAGGGCAGGGAGGGACCGGAGAGAGGGGGCTCTGAGGCTCTGCGAGGCGGACCCCAGCTGGCCTCCCCGGCTCTGCGAGGTGGACCCCGGCTGGCCTCCCCTTGCCCTGCGAGGTGGACCCTGGCTGGCCTCCCTGGCTGGCCTCCCTGGCTCTGCGAGGTGGACCCTGGCTGGCCTCCCCCTGTGCTGCGAGGCGGACCCTGGCTGGCCCCCCTGCCCTGCCAGGTGGACCCCGGCTGGCCTCCCCTTGCCCTGCGAGGTGGACCCTGGCTGGCCTCCCTGGCTGGCCTCCCCGGCTCTGCCAGGTGGACCCCGGCTGGCCTCCCTGGCTCTGTGAGGTGGACCCTGGCTGGCTCCCCCTGTCCTGAGAGGCGGACCCTGGCTGGCCTCCCTGGCTCTGCCAGGTGGACCCCGGCTGGCCTCCCCTGTCCTGAGAGGCGGACCCCGGCTGGCCTCCCGGTGGCCCCCGCCCCCTCCCCGTGAGCTGTTCCCTTTAAGGACCGACTCCCAGCCCCGGGAAATTCCTGAACCCAGCAGCCGGCAACCACACACCCGAGAGGGCTGGGCACCAGATGAAAAGCCTCCGTGGAGCCCGGCCCCTCCTGGGACGGCCTCGGAGCCGGCGAGTGCGGGGCCTGCTGCCGCGGGGCCCCCGGGCCTGCCAAGGTCCCCGGCACGCGTGTGCGCCTGAGCCAAACAGGTTTTCTAAGTTTTTCTGGTTTGCTCTGGGCTCGCGCTGAGCGACCCGCTGCCGTCGTCCCTCTGGGAGATGTGCTGTGCCAATGACTAATCCCAGCTGTGCCGAGATTGGTGTCAGCTGTCACCTGCTCAGCGCCGAGACCCGAGCCCAGTGCGAGTGAGGAGAGACCGGCGGCTGCAGCCCCGCCCTGCAGGGCCTCCGCTGCGGATCAGCCAGAAGCTTCCGGCTGCTGCCAGGGCCACTCTGTCCTCCCTGCGGGCGGCTGGCATGCGGCCAGCGCAGTGAGTGCCCCCGTCGGAGGGCAGCTGCCTCCCCGCCAGCCCAGCGGAGCCCCTGGATGGAGCTGGGGACCGGAGCCCCTCATGTCTGCCCTGCTGACGCTGTGTGTCCTCCTCCTGCCCCTGGCAACCCCTGGCCAAGGTGCCCAGCGCTGGGAGCCCTGCACAGGTAGGGCCGGGACGTGGGTACTGGGTGGGTGGGTGCCACGCTGCCACGGACACCGTGCGAGGCCACGGGGTGTCCGGCGGTCGGCAGCCCCTGGAGACAGGTGGCGGTGGGAGGGACCGGGGCGAGTGCTGGCAGGGTGGGGACGCGTCTCCCAGAGGCAGGCAGCACCCGAGGCCTCCCGCAAGTATGTGCCTGCTTGGCCTCCCGGGAGAGGCCCTGCACCTGCTTCAGGAATGAGCACACGGCAGCCCCCAGCCTGCACTGGCAAAGCAAAGGCCGGGGCCGAGGGTGCCCGGCTGCCTGTCCCCCAGAGCACTGGATGGACAGGCAGCCCAGCCCCAGCGCCAGAGCCCAGCGCCCCCACAAAGGGTTGGGGATAGGCATTGGGGGTTAGGGTTCAGGGTTCAGATTAGGGGTTAGGCGTTGGGGGTTCAGGTTAGGTGTTGGGGTTAGGATTCAGGTTAGGGGTTAGGTGTTAGGGGTTCAGGTTACGTGTTGCGGTTAGGGTTCAGGTTCAGGTTACAGTTAGAGGTTGGGAGTTAGAGTTCAGATTAGGGCTTAGGTGTTGGGGTTCGGGTTTGGGTTAGGTGTTGGGGGTTTAAGTTTGGGTTAGGGGTTCAGGTTTGGGTTAGGGGTTAAGTGTTGGGGGTTTGGGTTTGGGTTAGGGGTTTGGGGTTAGGTATTGGGGATTTGGGTTTGGGCTAGGTGTTAGGTGTTGGGAGTTTGAGTTTGGATTTGGGTTTGGGTTAGGTGTTGGGGGGTTAGGGTTCTGGTTGTATGTTGGGATTGGTGTTGGGGGTTAGAGATTTGGGTTTGAGTTAGGGTTGAGGTTGGGGTTAGGTGTTGGAGTTCGGGTTTGGGTTTGGGTTAGCTGTTGGGGTTCAGGTTTGGAGTTTGGGTTTGGGTTAGGGTTAGGTATTGGGGTTGGGGTTAGGCGTTGGGTGTTGGGGTTGGGGTTAGGCATTGGGGGTTGGGTTCATGTTAGGGGTTAGGGTTAGAGTTAGGGGTTATGTGTTGAGGTTTCAGGTTCAGGTTGGAGGTTGGGTTAGGGTCAGGGGTTAGGTGTTGGGGTTTGGGTTTAAGTTGGGGTTCCTAGGGGTGGGGTTCTGGTTGGGGTTAAGTGTTGGAGGTTTGGGTTTGGGTTTGGGTTAGGCACTGAGTGTTGAGTTTGGGTTAGTTTTCCTGTTGGCCTCCCTGACTTGGAGCTGGGTTCGGCTCCCACAGCAGATGGGGCAGGGGTTTTTCTGACTGCTGGCTTTGGCACCCTGACATTGCCCTTGAGAGTTGACCAGTGAGCCCACTCCTCAAATCAGCATTCCAGCAGAGGAGCAGGGAGGCCGTAAAGGCGTTAGCAGAGGTGCGGGGAGCGGATCTGGGGTGTGGCTCTGGTTGAAAGTCCTCATCCCGGGCTCCCGGGAGCCGTCCACGTCCCTGTCACACCCGGGGCCACCGCTCTGCTCTCCCAGCTGGCGGCTGGGGTGGGGCCCCCACGCTGCTGTCACCAGGCCCCGGGGGAAGGGGGAGTGGCTGCTTGCCTGTGGGCACTGGGGGGCTGCACCTGCCGCAGACCGCCTTGAGCGGGACGGCTGCGCGCACAAGGCAGGAGCAGGCCGACTTCTCACCCGGCACTTCTCAGCCACGAAGGCTGGGCCGTGGCCTCCTCGCTCCCTGCTGGGGCCCACCCGGTCCGGCGGGGCCTCGGGGGGCTGCGGTCGCCAGCACAGGCCGTCCTCCTGGCAGGGCGTGAGTCACAAGCATGTATCTTCATGTTGCCCTCAGCGCCGTGAACAGAGCCCGCCTGCACGGTGATAATAAAGGTTATTTATAAAGGCCGCCTCCTCTCCCCGGAAGGCACAGGGCGCATAGTTAGAAGATGACCCAGTTCTGAGCAGCAGGGACGAGGCGCGGAGATAAGCGCCCGGCAAGGGGTGCTGAGCTGCGTCTGGAGCCCTCCCAGGAGGCGGCCGTGGCCGGCAGATGCCACCTGGTCCCACCGGGCGCGAGGCCCACGGCAGGGCTTCCACTGCAGGCTCGGTTCCTGCGTGACCCGAGGCTCCGGGGCCCCGGGCCGTGTCTGCAGTCACAGACATTGTGTGGGTGGCACACGTGATGGGCAACGTACAGGTGTGACATTCTGGTCTGTGACACGCATGATGCATGACATGCATGTGTAACACTCTGGTCTGACACGCGTGGTAGATGACATGCAGCTGAGACATTCTGGTCTGTGGCACACATGATGCATGACACACATGTGTAACGCTCTGGTCTGACACGTGTGGTGGACGACACACAGCTATGACATTCTGGTCTGTGACACACATGATGGATGTGTCCCGGGCTGGGTGTCCAGGTGTGTCCAGGGCAGTGTGTTCAGGTGTACCTGGGGCTGCGGGTCCAGTTGTGCGCAGGCTGGGGGTCCAGGTGTGTCCAATGCTGGGGGTCCAGTTGTGCCCAGAGTGGGGGTCCAGGTGTGCAGGGCAGGGGTCTAGGTGTGCCCAGAGTGGGGGTCCAGGTGTGCAGGGCAGGGGTCTAGGTGTGCCTGCCCGGTGGGCAGCAGAGGGGAGCCGCCGTTTCCCCTGCGCCGTAGGGAATGCTGACTGGGAGCCAGGGAGCTGCTGGAGGCCACAGTGGCTCAGGGAGGGGCTTGGGCCAGGGCGCAGGTGCCAGCCAGAGTCCAGGAGGCGGGGGCTGCGGAGGGCCAGGGTCGGGCCGAGAGCCAGCAGTCACGGGTGAGGGCCCGTCACAGGCAGGCGGTGCGGCCAGTTTGCAGATGGTCAGCTGAGACTGGGCGTCTGACCAGCCTCTGTCACTGGACTCTGCTGGAGGGCGGGGCCAGGTGTCCCTGGGTCTGCAGACTGGCAGGTGGTCAGCTCGGGCATTCACAGCCGCAGGAGCAGGACCAGGTGTTCTGATGGGGCCCTGGCCCGAGGACCACGCAGCTGCCCCAGTGAGCCGGACCCTGCGGCCTGGTGACAAAGGCATGGGTGTAGCCACTGAGAGTCCAGCTCTTGACTGGGGGTGGCATGGGGCGTGTTGGGGTGGGGGGGATCCTGGCCGTCCAGCAGGGACGAGTGGGCCATGGGCGGGGGCGGGGGAGGCTGGGCCTGTGCCGCTGGGGGGACAGCCAGGAAGCCTCAGGACCTCATCTGCCCGGCACCTCACTCGCTGCCCCCTCCCCCAGCCTGGGACACAGCCCCACGGGCCCCACGGGCCAGAGCCCAGCACAGGCACAGCCAGCATCGGGGCAGGGGGGCCCCGAACTCCAGGAGCTGGACAAAGTGGGGGAAGAGACTGACAGATTTGCATTTTACTTTTTTTTTTTAATATTTATGTACTTATTTGAGAGAGTGACGTGGGAGGTGGGGAGGAGAGGGGCAGAGTCCACCCACCGTTCACCCCCAAATGCCCCCGGGGCTGGGGCTGGGCTGGGGTCTGGCTGGAGCCAGGAAGCAGGAAGGCAGGCTATGTCTCCCACCTCGACCCACCCCACCTAGACCTCACCACCCCCCACCCCCACACCTGACCCCTCCCACACGCTGCCCCCACCCACTGTGCCCCCACACCCTCACCTGGGCCCCACCCCAGCACCTGGACCGCCCCCACACAGCTAAGCCCCACCCACCCCACCTGGACCCCGCCCCTCGCTGCACGCCGCCCCGCCCGTGCCAGCACCCCCGCCCTGCTCTGCTGTTCACCCGCCCGTCCTCAGGGCTCCCAGCCTGGAGATCTCCGGGCACGGGGGCGCCCTTCCCTTCCCCACGTGCGGGCCCAGGGTCTCCAATACGATGACACCACTTGCCACCCCGCCCTGCGCAGCCCACGACCCCTCCCCAGGAGGTGCTCCGGGCTCTGGGGAGAGGGGCTGGGAGTGGGGACCAGCGAGCGTGAGAGCCTGCCCGGAGCAGATGCGGGGTGACCCATGCTGGCACCTCCTCCCCTTCCCACTCCACCGCCCCTCCTGCCAGTGCCCCGGGGAGAGAGCAGGGTCAGATGTCCACTGCCCCGCTGCCCTGGGATGTATGAGGGGTCCTGTTTGCTGCCTCAGGGGGCCTCGCTTTCACAGCAGGCACTGTCAGGACCCTGGAGGGTCTCTTCTCCCTGCTCATGGGCCTTGGGAAGGTCTATGCTGACCCCCACCCCATAGCCCCCAGCCCGCAGCCTGGAGCCCCTCTCCCGTGGTGCCCAGCAGGGCCAGGCAGGGGAGATGGCACCGGTGTGGGTGTGGAGCAGGGACAGCAGGTTAGCCAGCAGTCCTGCTTGGAGTGAGGGCCAGGCTGGGCACGCGGGGCCTGGCCTGGGCTTTGGGCTCTGTCCCCTGACCTCTGTCCCAGGCAGGCTGGGTCTGGGGCTGCGGAAGGGGGGCTGCTGTTGACCTTTGGGGCCCAGCAGAACGGCCCCGCCTCCTGCCCCGCTGGGCAGCCAGACCAGGAGAGGGAGCACTTGGGCCAGGTGCCGGTCAGCTGGATGGGCCCTGGAGAAGCCAATGCCGAACCCAGAACCCCGGGGCCGCGGCACCGCCACACTGGGGCCAGGGAGGGCAGTGGGGGTCCTCGATCTCCAAGGCTGCGGGAGCCGGGGTTCTGCCAGCCCAGGGGCTGGGAAAGACGGCATCGGTGCTCATGCCGGGGACGGGGCCTCCCCAGCGGAGAGAAGCGCCAGCCACAGGTCAGAGGGGACAGAGGGCAGAGGGCTGGGCGGCCGCAGGTCTTGCTGTCACTCACGGCTCGGGCAGCCTCCCTCTCCTGTTCACCTTGCGTGGAGGTGGCAGGTGGAAGCTGCGGGTGCTGGGGTGAGAGGTCACGGGGCTTCTGCCCTGAGACCTGGGCCAAAGTGTGGGTGGGGAACGGACCCGGAAGCCGGGAGAGGCAGGGGTGGGAACCTGGCGTGGCAGGGCCGAGGGACATGCCGGTCAGCAGCAGGACTGTCCCGAGGAGAGGCCGCAGCAGGCGGGGCGGGAGCAGGCGGGGCGGCAGAGCAGGGACACGCAGGAGGCCGGGCGGCAGCAGCTGGGCTGGCAGGAGGGGGCGGGCACGCAGCAGGCGGGCCTGCACACGGGGCGGCAGAGCAGGGACACGCAGGAGGAGGGTCTGCAGCAGGACGAGGGGCAGGGGCTGGGCTGGCAGCACGAGGGGCGTGGGCAGACGGGCACACAGCTCAGGGGCCTGCAGCAGAGGGTCACACGGCTGGGCTGCTGGCAGGGGTTGGAGCAGCAGGACGGCTGGCAGCTAGACTGCTGGCAGCAGGGGGCGTGCAGGAGCTGGTGCACACTGACTGGCAGCTCCCTGGGGCGCAGCACCCTCATTAGCACTGGTTTACCCCCCCCCCCCCCCGCAGTGCTACCCGGCTCACAAACGTGTCCAGCTGTGCTGGGGCGTGGCTGGCAGGTCCAGGCCAGGACTCCGGAGGTGGAGGTCGAGCCAGGGCTTATGAGCAGCTCTTGGTGGGCTCTCGGCTGGCCTCGGGGGCTGAGGCCAGGGCTGGGCTGGGGCCAAGTTGGATTCTGTGCTTCCGGGGCAGCTCTGGGTGCAGGCCATCGCCCTCCTGTTGTGTTTGTCACCAGGTCCCACGTCTGTCCTTTTGCAGTGAGGCCCACTGGCCCGGTGGCTGAGCCCAGGCGTGCGCGGCCACAATGGCCCTGCCCGGGAACCTGCCCGGGAAGGAAGTTGGAGGTCCTGCTTCTCTCCCACCCATGCAGCCCTTCCCATCACGCCCTGCTGGGAGCTGAGCCCAAGTGCCCCGTCCACGGCCCCGCCCAGCCCCCTGCAGTGGCCACCGCTGCCATGACCGATAAATGCCCCAGTGAAGTGGACGTCGGCGTCCTCCCCCAAGGAGACAGTGTCTCCAGGGGCGGCGCACTGCCCGGGCTGGCCGCAAGCTGTGTGTGCACCAGGGGCCAAGCGGGACGGCTCTGGGAGGTGTTCCGCGAGGGTCTCCCCGCTCAGCCCCAGCCCCCGGCCCAGGGCCCCACCGTGGCTGGACAGGCGTCCTGGCTGGAGCACTTGCTGTGCAGGTGCAGCTGCGGCTCCTCTGGGTGACGTCCTGGCCCAGGGTGGTCCTGTCCGGAGCTGACGCGGGGGATGCCCTTCCGATTCTGACAATGGGGCACTTGGGCTGCTGGCACCCCGGGTGGGGGTGGGCGAGAACAGAGGCGGGGGCCGGGAGAGGCGGGCCCACGGGTTGGGGACTGGGAGGCTGTCTGGGGGCCTGGGAGGCTGTCTGGGGCCTGGGACTTGGCGGGGGGCAGTGGGGGCGGGAGGGCTGGGAGCCCCTGGGTCTCCGCCATGTTCCTTAGGCGCGGGCGGTTTATGCTGTCCGTGCGGATGTTGCACAGTTAGCGTGATGCGTTGAACCAGGCTGCTCGGGAGCTGTCTCTGCAAAGCTCACGGCGGCGGCCCTGGGAGTCTCACAGGGGTGGTTTCCAGCAACAGGGCTCTGAGCCGAGGGGCAGGAGCCCCCTTCTGCCTCTGCAGCCTCGAATGGCCCCGGCTCCTCCCTTCTGTGTGCTCGCTCTGCCGCCCTCTCACGGGGACCGGGATCCTGAGACCAGCCTGGAGGGTCCTGTGCCCTGGGGTCCCGCTCAGGTGCTGGGGGTGGGGCGAGGACGCCCTTACTCAGCCACCACACCCCCCTTCCCAATGGCCGGCGCCACCTGCTGTGTGCGGCTCCTCCTGCTGTGTGCGGCTCCTCCGTCCACCCGCCTCGCCCCTGGTGTGGCCTGGGCGACCGTGGCCGGTCAGCTCTGCAGGACGGGGTCACGGTCAAACCACACTGTTTGAGGGCTGTGTGGTTCGTCAAGGTCGGCCACTCTCACGGTTGTTCCTTTGGCCGCGTGGCAGCATTGCACTTGGCGTGAACCCGAATCCTGGCCTGCATTTAACTGGGGAGCTCCGGGGGCGGCCGTGGGCAGGCGCCGCAGGCTCCAGGTCCGCCGCGTTCACTGTGCTGGCCCCAGACTTCCTGGCCCTCAAGTGCCTCTGACCCAGCCCCTCCCCGTGCCCCCCCGGCCTCCGTTTCTCTCCTCGCCAGGCGGATCCTGGATCACAGGGCAGCGTCAGGAGCCTCTGCCCACTGAGCCTGGCCCCCTCCCTCCAGCCCTTCCAGGCTGAGGGACTTCAGGGAGGGGACATCCCCGTGCCTGGGGTGGCTCTCTGCTTGCACAGCCGCAGCTGCGTGTCCTTCGGGTCGGGTTCCCGTGACCGTCCTCTGTGACTGGTCCCCTACTGGACGAAGCACACGGGTGCTTCCCAAGAGAACCCCGTGGCAGGGTCTCTGGGCACGAGGCACACACCTGCCCCGTGGACAGGGCCTGGCAGCCTGGCCTGCTCTGGGAGCTGGGCCCAGGGCCCCTGTCTTGCCTGGTCACCCCTGCAGTTGCCCACAGCCACTGAAAGCCACCCCGAGTGGGGGAAATGACTGTGGACAGGGGCGGGGACAGACCCCAAAGGCCTCTGCAGAAGAGGCACAGCTCAGTGGTGGGTGGCAGTGCTGGGGTGGGGCTGAGACCAGCAGCCTGGGTCAGGAGAGGGAGGGCAGGAGAGGCGGGTGCTGGGCTTCAGAGGAGCGGAGGCCATGGTGGGCGTGGCCTGGAGGCCAGCAGGGAGAGGCTGCAGGGCCCTGGTCAGAGCCCGGAGGTGGGGGAAGGGTGATCCACAGAACACACGGAGAAAGAGGAAGAGGAGCAGAGAGACGCACCGGGAATGCAGGGCTGGCGAGTTTTGGGGGTGAGGTCAGAGTAAGGGACGTGAGGTTGACCCCAGCAGTGACCGAGCTGGTCAGGGCGGGCCTAGGCAGCGCCTGGGGCGGAGGAGGGCTGTGCTGTCTCGGGTGAGATTTGGCCCCTGGCCGCCGCCGTGCTCCCGGTCCAGCTCCCGGCTAAGGCACCCAGGAAGGCAGCAGGTGACCTGGAGGGGCTTCTGGCTTGTGGCCTAGACCTGGCCGTTGTAGCCGTCTGGGGAGTGAACCAGTGGATGGAAGATTTCTCTCTCCCTCTCTTTCTCTCTCTCTCTCTCTCTCTGCCTTTCTCTCCACCCCCCAGCACCAGGCCTTTCAAATCTCAAATCTATCATCTATCTATCTATTTATCTATCTATCTATCTATCATCTATCACCCATCATCTATCATCTGTCTATCTTTAGGAAGAGAAGACGTGGCCGCCATGCTCAGGTGGCACGAAGCACCCTCAGCCCAGGGCCCGGCCCGCGGTTCTCTGTGTTACAAAGCTTCAGGCCTCTGTGACCTGGGCAGGAGCCTCAGACCGGGGTCTGTGGGGCGGGGTGGGGGCTGGGCTGCCTCTGGGCAGGGGGAGGTGGGGACGCTTGGGCAGCCCGGTGCTGGGCACTGTCCCAGGGCTCCAGACCCTCATGGCCCAGGCAGGGGCTGGGCTACAGGTGGGAGGAAGAGCCTGGTCCTTCCTGGTGGGGGACTTGTGTCCTGCCAGCCCCAGTCCCAGTGTGGAAGGCGGGGGCTCCCCTGGGACAAGCCTGGGGCAGCCTTCCCGTGCCCGGGCCCCCCCCTGGAGCAGGGCTCCCTGGGTCAGCTGTGGGGGGTTGGGGCCGCCGATGCCCTGTTGACCCCTCCTGGGTCTGGTACGGTTCCTGCAGGGATAGAACTGGGCACGCGGCCAGCCCAGGTGTGTGCCCAGGGGGTCCTGCGGGAGGGCTGGGGAGAGGCAGCGAGGGCCTGGAGGCCGCACCTGCTTCCTCGCCTCATGTCTGAACCGGTTAGGAAGTCGACCAGAGCGCAGGGAGAGGGCTGTGGGCTCGCACGCAGGCGGCTTTATTCAGTTTCCAAGCAGGCTCCTCACGCGGGAACGGGGTGCACGGGGGCCTAGGGGGAGTGAGCCCACCGAGGCCTGGATGTGACAGTGGCCACAGGCTGACAGGGACGGGCAGCAGGTGGACCAGGGTCACGTGGCCTTCGATAGGATCTCCTGCAGTGCTAAGAGGGGCTGGCTCTGCGTCTCACCAGGACGCGCAGATAGAGAGGTGCTTGAGAGTGGGGGTGCCCATAGGGACCTGCTGGCCTTGGGGAGCACGCCGGTCAGCAGCAGGACTGTCCCGAGGAGAGGCCGCAGCAGGCGGGGCGGGAGCAGGCGGGGCGGCAGAGCAGGGACACGCAGGAGGCCGGGCGGCAGCAGCTGGGCTGGCAGGAGGGGGCGGGCACGCAGCAGGCGGGCCTGCACACGGGGCGGCAGAGCAGGGACACGCAGGAGGAGGGTCTGCAGCAGGACGAGGGGCAGGGGCTGGGCTGGCAGCACGAGGGGCGTGGGCAGACGGGCACACAGCTCAGGGGCTTGCAGCAGAGGGTCACACGGCTGGGCTGCTGGCAGGGGGAGGGGCTGCAGGATGGCTGGCAGCAGGGGGAGGAGCTCCCAGAGCAGACGGGCACACAGGAGACGGGCACACAGCTCAGGGGCCTGCAGCAGAGGGTCACACGGCTGGGCTGCTGGCAGGGGGAGGAGCAGCACGAGGGCTGGCAGCTAGACTGCTGGCAGCAGGAGGAGGAGCCCCCAGAGCAGACGGGCACACAGGAGACGGGCACACAGCTCACGGGCTTGCAGCAGAGGGTCACACAGCTGGGCTGCTCGCAGGGGTTGGAGGAGCAGCACAAGGACTGGCAGCTAGACTGTTGGCAGCAGGGGGAGGAGCTTCCAGAGCAGACGGGCACACAGGAGACGGACACACAGCTCAGGGGCCTGCAGCAGAGGGTCACACAGCTGGGCTGCTGGCAGGGGTTGGAGGAGCAGCACGAGGGCTGGCAGCTAGACTGCTGGCAGCACAGGGGCGTGCAGGAGCTGGTGCACGCTGACTGGCAGCTCCCTGGGGTGCAGACGAGGGTCACGGAGGGGGCTGGGGCGCAGCAGCTGGGGGCGCAGCAGGGGGGCTCGCAGCAGCTCTCTGGGCAGTCGTCCACCTGCCAGGAGTCGGGGCAGGGGTCACAGGAGCCGGGCATGCAGACGTTGCTGCCGTAGCTCAGGTTGCTGGAGCAGACGGACATGGTGGAGGCGGCCGTGGCGGGCAGTGAGCTGGGCAGGGGTGAGTGTGAGTGTGAGGAGGGGTGAGTGTGTGAGTGAGGGAGTGGGCACCTTATATACCTCCCAAGGGCGTGTGTGTTTTTCCAATGAGAGCCTCTTCCGTGTTGTTTTTGGAGCCATTCCCTGAAGACGCTCACCACAGGCCCATGCAAATAAACTTCCCGGCTGGTGGTGCCGCGCACGTCTGCTGGGGGTGGGGCTGGGGTTTCCAGGAAGGAAGACGGCACCCAGGGTCGAAGACCCAGGGAGCGCGGAACCCTTGTCCACTCCGTGCCCTGCAGGAGCAAACACGGAGCTGCCTCAGGGCCACCACGGCTGCTCCTGCGGACTAAGCTGCCCAGGGAGCCCAGGAGGGGCGTCTCCCAGACCCCTGCCCACATGGGTAGCCATGGGGTGGCTGGGTCGGGCTCCGGGCGTGCTCCGTCTCCTGGACCCGGTGAGACACAGGTGTCGAACGTCTCCTCCCACTCTGTAGAGTCCCTTCGCTCTCTGGGTCACGTGCTCCGACTCAGGAAAGTCCTGAATTTTGACAAAGTGTAATTTAGTTATTTTGGTGCTTGTGTTTTAGTGTCCTATTGAAAAATCCACTGTCAAGTCCAAGTTCACCAAGCCTCTCTCCAATGTCTTCTAAGGTTTTGTGGTTTTAGCTGTGACGTTCAGGGCATTGAGCTAAGCTTCATGTTTGGGTGAGGGGGGTCCAACGCCACCCCTTCCCGTGTAGACATCTGGGGTCCCCAGGCCACCTGCTGAGGGGAGACGCTCCGCCCACGAGGGGTCTTGCCAGAATTAACTGGTCGTCAGCGTGTGCGTTTCTGGCCTCGCGGTCCCGTGCCTTGGTGTGAGTGCCTTTCTCCCGTCAGCGCTGTGGCGATGGCTATCACGCGTACGAAGCTTTGGCGTGAACGGAAAGTCGGACTTCCAGTTTTGCTCGATTCTTAGAATTGACTGTTCTAGGTCTCTGTTAATCTAGAGAAGTTGAGGACCGTTTTCTCACTTCTGGAAAAAAGGCTGTTGCGGTGCGGCAGGCAGCGCCGAGAGTGTAGAAAGCGTTGAGAACTTTCGTCTGAGCCGTGAGTCCCTCCGAGCCCGGCGCGGCTGCCTCCCCCGCGTCTGGGTCTTGACTCCAGCACTGCGTTCTGGTCGCGAGTCTGTCACTGGTTACGTTTGTCCGGATATTTCATTATTTTGGACATCGTTACGAAAGAAGTTGCTTTCCTCAGTTCCTTTCCCGATTGCGCGGTACTGGCGTGTACTGGCGTGTACTGGCGTGTACTGGCGTGCACGTGAAGCTTTACATTCCGTAATGACAGCTCCAGCAGCTTCCGGGGGTCTGTGCGATTCTCTACAGATCGGGGAAGTCACCAGCAAACGGGTCACTTCCAGCACCTTGCCCGTGTGTGTGTGTGTGTGTGAGCGTGTATGTATGTCTGTGAGTGTGTGTGTCTGTGAGTGTGTGTCTGTGAGTGTGTGTATGTGTGTGTGTGAGTGTGTGTATGAGTGTGTCTATATGGGTGTGTGTATGTGTGTGTATATAAGTGTACATGTGTCTGTGTGTGTACATGTGTATATGTGTACATGTGTATGTATATGTGTGTACGTGTGTGTATGTGTGCCTGTGTACGTGTGTATGTGTACACGTGTATGTGTGTGTGTGTGTGTGTGGTGTGTGTGTGTGTGTGTGTGTGGTGGCCCTCACTAGACCTCCAGTACTATGTTGGGCGGCAGTGGGGGCAGTGGAAGAGTCTCCCGTTCGTCGTCTCCCGTCCCTGACCTGATGAGGACAGCGTTCCAGCACAGGCACTAAGCGTGGGGACAGCTGTGGGTGTTTCATTAGGAGCACTTTGAGGCCGGCGCCGCGGCTCACTAGGCTAATCCTCCGCCTGCGACGCCAGCACCCCAGGTTCTAGTCCCGGTCGGGGCGCCGGATTCTGTCCCGGTTGCCCCTCTTCCAGGTTAGCTCTCTGCTGTGGCCTGGGAGGACAGTGGAGGTTGGCCCAAGTGCTTGGGCCTTGCACCCCATGGGAGACCAGGAGAAGCACCTGGCTCCTGCCTTCGGATCAGCGCGGTGCGCCGGCCGTAGCAGCCACTTGGGCGGTGAACCAATGGAAGGAAGACCTTTCTCTCTGTCTCTCTCTCTCACTGTCTAACTCTGCCTGTCAAAAAAAGAGAGCACTTTGATTCCTAGTTTTCTGAGGTGTCTTTTTTTAAATCGTATTGGATTTTGTCAAAGGTTTATCTGCAGCAATGGAGAAGATCGGCTGCCCCCCCCCCCATTCTGTTAATGTGGCTGCTTGATGGCATTGGTCTTTTTAAAAAAAGATTTATTTATTTATTTGAAGTTCAGAGTTGCAGAGAGAGAAAGAGAGAGAGAGAGAGAGAGAGGTCTTCCATCTGCTAGTTCACTCCCCAGTTGGTCACAACAGCTAGAGCTGGGCCGATCCAAAGCCAGAAGCCAGGAGCTTCTTCTGGGTCTCCCACAGGGGTGCAGGGGCCCGAGGACTTGGACCATCTTCCACTGCTTTCCCAGGCCACAGCAGAGAGCTGGATTGGAAGAGGAGCAGCTGGGACTAGAACTGGCGCCCACATGGGATGCGGCACTGCAGGCAGCGGCTTTACCCGCTACGCCACAGCGCCGGCCTGGACACTGATCTACAAGGCTGGACCATCCTTGCGTTCCTGGGACAGACCTCACGCGTCCGTAATGTGCGGTTTTTCAGTGAGCTGGTGGACTCGGTTTGCTAGTTTGTTGTTGAAGATTTTCACATAAATATTCATAATGTGTGTTGGTCTATAACTTCCTTCCCTTTTGAGTTTTAGTGCCGGGTCATGCTGGCCTCATAAAATGAGGTAGGAAGTGTTCCTTGTTCTATTTTTTGGAAGATCTTGAGAAGGGTGGGCAGCTTAATCTGCTACCCCACGACACCAGGCCCCACTTACTGTTTTTTTAAGAGCTCACTGTTTAATTCCTAGTTTCCCTGTCCGAGTGGTGGCCATTGTGGTTGGAGATGGCTCTTCCGATTCTCCCATTTGAAGACGCTCACTGAGGCCTGCCCACCCTCCCGTGGGCCGGGGCTCTGCGGAGCTGCTGTGACTCAGATGGTCTCAGGGCTGCCCAGACCTCGACTTCCCTGTTGGGCCGCTGGGGAGATGCTGTGTCCACTGCTGAAGGTGCAGGTTAACGTCCCCGCGGCACTGCGGGGCCGTTTCTCGCTGCTTCCTGGGTGTGGGGACCGCTGCTGTCTGGTTTGTGTGTTTGCGGTTCTTCCTGGCGACCCGGCTCTGCCGTCGGCACACGATAGCTGCGAGTGCCGGAAGGTGGCAGTTTACAGACGAGCGGCTCCTTGGTGGTGTCTCCGGATCTCACGGCCTTGGTGTGTTGATGGAGACTCGAAGGTCGGCCCAGCAGAGTCAGCTATAGGCAGTGGCATGGACAGCACGCTATCAACACTCGAGAGCGCCGCAGACACAGGGGAGTGCCTCCTTTGGCTGTCAGCTCTGCTCCCTGGGATCCAGAAATGGACAAGCCAAGTCCAGCCCCTCCTGAACTTGGGGTGGGCAGAGGGGCTCGAAGTGACCAGGTTCTAAGACGGAAGGGCCGTGTCAGCGGCTGCCCCGACCAGCGGGGAGAGCAGAGTGGGGAGGGAGAGGTAGCGCGGGGGGAGGGGCGGGAGGGAGGCAGGAGGACGGAGGGGCCTTTGGACTGGATCACGTGTTCAGCAAGTCTGCTCTTCATGTCTGATGGCGAGGCGAGAGTCCGTGTGGAAGCGATGACCACAGGGGACAGAAAGCAGGCTGCTGGGTCCTGAGCACAGCCGCTCCCTGTGCCGTTCTGCCGCCCGCCAGCCGCCGGTCGGCCCCAGGCCAGCTTCCCCGCTGCTGGTGAGCGGCTGAGGCTGGGCCGGCCTGGCTCCGGCTGCAGGTGACTCCTGTTTTCCTCTGGGGAAGTGCTTGTCGGCCTCGCCGCCGCCTCTTCCTCCCGACCAGTCAGGATTTCCCGGTGACTTTTCCCGGTGGGCATCACCGAGTCCCCCCCTCCGTGCCCGAGTCCTGTGTTCTGGGCCTTGCCTTCCGCACGCACGGGCGGGGTGATTCCGTCCCGCCCCGCAGTGTCCCCACCCCCATCCTCTGTGGGACGCTCTCACCAGAGGTGGCGTGGGTCATGTATGGGTCTCATTTCCTCGCACATTCTCACATCACCTGGGGGTTCTGTCCTGAGCCCCAGGGCCTGCCCAGCCCCCCTCCCAGCCCCTGGGGGTTCTGTCCTGAGCCCCAGGGCCTGCCCAGCCCCCCTCCCAGCCCCTGGGGGTTCTGTCCTGAGCCCCAGGGCCTGCCCAGCCCCCCTCCCAGCCCCTGGGGGTTCTGTCCTGAGCCCCAGGGCCTGCCCAGCCCCCCTCCCAGCCCCTGGGGGTTCTGTCCTGAGCCCCAGGGCCTGCCCAGCCCCCTCCCAGCCCCTGGGGGTTCTGTCCTGAGCCCCAGGGCCTGCCCAGCCCCCCTCCCAGCCCCTGGGGGTTCTGTCCTGAGCCCCAGGGCCTGCCCAGCCCCCCTCCCAGCCCCTGGGGGTTCTGTCCTGAGCCCCAGGGCCTGCCCAGCCCCCCTCCCAGCCCCTGGGGGTTCTGTCCTGAGCCCCAGGGCCTGCCCAGCCCCCCTCCCAGCCCCTGGGGGTTCTGTCCTGAGCCCCAGGGCCTGCCCAGCCCCCCTCCCAGCCCCTGGGGGTTCTGTCCTGAGCCCCAGGGCCTGCCCAGCCCCCCTCCCAGCCCCTGGGGGTTCTGTCCTGAGCCCCAGGGCCTGCCCAGCCCCCTCCCAGCCCCTGGGGGTTCTGTCCTGAGCCCCAGGGCCTGCCCAGCCCCCTCCCAGCCCCTGGGGGTTCTGTCCTGAGCCCCAGGGCCTGCCCAGCCCCCCTCCCAGCCCCTGGGGGTTCTGTCCTGAGCCCCAGGGCCTGCCC